ATAACAACAACAACATACATGGTGTGGCGCTATAGGATAAGCACTGGACTGCAAAGTTGATTTAAACTGTAAGGTCGGCAGTTCAAACCCACCAGCTGCTCCTCAGAAACCTTATACAGGGTCGTTATGAGTCGAAATTGACTTGACAGCACTTACAACATGATTCAAAATCGACTCAGTGGCAGTGGGTGTGGTTTTTTGGTCAAAACCATCACCAAAGAAATCTAAGCTGAGCCCTCCTTGATCTGTCTTTCTGCTGAAAAGCCACCAGTGGCATCTCATTTGCATATTCAGTAAAATTCAAACTTAGTAACAGGCCATTCATAGCCCTGTACACTCAGATTCCAACTTACTCTCCCAATTTCTCTCAAGTTGTCTTCTGATATGACGTCTGCAGTGCCCCTTCCATGTTCCTGGTCCTCTGTCTGCACCCTGTGCTGTCTGAGACATTCACATTGACCACCTTTCATAAGGATTCCGTGCTAATCATCATTCCCAAACTATGCAAAACATTTGTTCTCCAAAGGTACTTCCATCGAATACACTGAGAAAGCCCTGCATACCACAGCTCTTTCTCGGAAATTTATAAACCACATGTAGTAAGGCCTCAGGGACTGAATTAAAATACATAGTGAATAAGATGATGAAAGAGGGCTTGGTGGCTCTAGATGATAAGCACTGGACTGCCATTGGAGGCCACCAGCCACTCCCCGGGAGAGAGATGAGGCTTTCTGCTCCTTAGAAGGTTTAAAGCCTCAAACCCTATACAAGCTCGCTATGACTTGGAACTGACTCAACAGCACTTAACAACAACAGAGATGATGCAAAATGCTGAATGTGTTTGCTTGGTAAAAGGTTGGAGGCTCAGGTCCACCCAAAGGCTCCTCAGAATGTCCAAAAATTCAATACGTCCAAATAGCCACTGAAAACCCCGTGGAGCACAGGGTGGCCAGGAATCTCGGTCGGCTCCATGGCAAATGGATTGGAAAACTTCATTAGAACCCCCCAGTAAGGCAAGAAATGTCTGTTTCTTGCTGCTGTATCCATAGGCATCTAGAAGACAGCCAGTGAATGGCCATGTGGTGGACACTCCCAACAGGGATGGCGTGAATACCTGAGTGGCTTCCGGGGAATGACAGAGTGGTGGGAACAGAAGGCACATTTCTCCCTGCTGGCTAGAGGGACATCACTTAACAGAAGTGATTACCAGGTGGCACTGAATTAATCCAGCACCTTTCTACCAGCTTTCTGAAGCAAATTTTCAGAGTGGAGCAAAGTGAATGAATGACAAGTTAGTAACAACTCTTCCTGGTTTCAGGCAGTCATTTGTTTCTGAATCTTCAGGGATTCCTTGGTTCAATTAGGGTTTAATTACTTAGTTGCAGGGTAAGTGTCGTACTTTTCTAGTACAACTGACAGAAATACCACGACTGGATGGCTTTAGTTAACAGACATTTATTGTCTCACACTTTTGGCTAGAAGTTCAAATTCGTGCCACCAGCTCTGTTGTTAGATGCTGTCGAGTCAGTTCCAACTCATAGCGACTTTATGTACAACAGAATGAAACACTGCCTGGTCCTGTAGCAACCTCACAATTGTAAAGCTTGAGCCGATTGCTGCTGCCACTGTGCCAATCCATCTTGTTAGGGGTTTTCCTCTTTTTCACTGATGTCTTTCTCCAGGAACTGGTCCCTCCTGATAATGTGTCTGAAGTATAAGAGACAAAGTTTCGCCATGCTGGCTTTTAAAGAACATTCTGGTTGTACTTCTTTCAACAAAGGTTTGTTTGTTCTTCTAGCAGTCCATGGTACTTTTAATATTCTTCTCCAACACCATAACTCAAATACATCAATTTGTCTATGGTCTTCATTATTCGTTGTCCAAATTTTTACATGG